TTAAAAATAAATAACTTAATTTTAATAAATATTGTAAGAAATAAAAAGTGCTCCGAAACTGGTTTCGTACTAAGCAAACCTGCTTAAATGCTCTACCAAAAGTAGTTTTTCATACTGAGACGATTCTAACGATGGTAAATCATCAAAATGGTCCAGTTTATTTAGTATCAAATCCGGTTTGGAGCATTTTTTATTTTATTATTTTTTATAGAGGGATGCGCATTAATTCGGGATGCACATGGGCGTTAATTCGAAATTGCATATACTAGTTTTGAACGACCTGATTTTCAAAATAACACCTACGGGCGTTATTTTGGATTTATATGGTAGATTTGTTGTAATCAAAAAATCTCAGACTTTTTCTACTTTTACGGGGTCGGGTGCTATACCTTTCTCACTTATACAGTGACCCAAAAATGATAGTTGTTTTTTAAAAAAATAACATTTATCTTTACTTAAGCGCAAACCGGCATATCTTAATAGGTCGAAGACTTGTTGTAGGTGACTTAGGTGTTTGTCAAACGTTCTTGAAAAAATATTTATATCGTCTAGATAGACCAATATGAATTTTTTATTAACTGAATGAAGAACTTTATTCATCAACCTCTGGAATGTTGCCAGGGCGTTTGTTAGCCCAAACGGCATAACTAGAAATTCATACAGTCCATCTCTAGTAACGAAAGCGGTTTTTGCACGATCCTTGGAGTACATTTCTATCTGCCAATAACTGCTTGCCAGATCCAGGGTGAAAAACCATTTAGATCCATTTAACAAACTCAGAATATCATCAATTCATGGTATTGGATAAGAATCTTTTATCGTTAAGGTATTTAATTTTCTATAATCGACACAAAATTGCTTCTTACTATTCTTTTTCATTACCAATACCACAGGGGAGCTCCATGAGCTTGTGGATTCTTGCACTATTCCATATTTCAACATTTGTTCGATTTCTTGGTTGATAAATTTATTTTCAGTGTGTGACACCTGGTATGGTCGTTGTTTCACTGGCTGAGCTCCTTCTTCTAATAAAATTCTGTGCGTTTTCATCTTTGTTTTTCCAGCTGTGTTAACCCTTCTGTGAACAGCTCTTGATTTTCTCTTAACAGCTTTTTGACTAGAACCTGTTGATCTTCTCTTAAGGTATCCATTCTCTCTGGTTCTTTGGATATTCCTCATTCATTATCTAATTCATCCACCAAACATTCTAACTCCCAAATCTTCTTGTTTTTCTTTATATTCGGCGCAGCTATCTTCTACTTGTTTCAATGATTTTCCACACTAACACATTACGTTCAGGCCTTTTTAACTGCGAGTTGAGTCCCTTATCCCATCTCGGTCTGTAATTCTCTTCGTATTTGTTTTTACCTTTCCTTAGATTTCTCTTCTCCTTCTATTCTAATATGATTCTCACTGATCTCTATTATAGGTGGTTCCTCCTCTTTCCCTTTTACCACATAGCTCCTATCTTCTAATGCCTCTTCCAGCTTATATTCTTTTTCCTCGTCATCGTCACTTCTACCTTCATTTTTATCATCTAGTGGTACAGGCCTTCCTTCGATGTATGTCATCTTCTCTCAACAGGTAATTGATGTTTTATCTTTATTGCCATTCCATTCATATTCAAACTTTCTGTTCTCTAAGTCGATTTTTCCTTTTACTTTCGCCAACCAATCCATCTCTACAATTACACTATAATCTCGCACCTCTGTAACTTCAACATCAATGGGTATTTCTACTCCTTTTATTCTAATAGGTAAGTTTTCCACAATCCTTAAAGGATGCCTCCTTTAGCTATGAACATCGATTAGGTTTCTTACTGACGGCTTATCAATATTTCTTCTAATTTGTTTTAAAAATTCATATAATGCTAAGCTTTTACTTGATCCTGTATCCAATATTAAATAAATAGGATACTGGTCTATAGCAGCTTCACAATAGGTTACTTCTATAGGTTGTTGGTAAACATTTTGCGTTTCATTATTGTTATCCAATACTAAAGGAGATGACAAGTTACCAGGTACCGGCTGGTCTAATAAGCTAAAATTATTAGTTGAGAGGTCTATAACATTTTCATTTTTGGCATTCTCACCCTCATGAGAAGTGGTCCATGTTAGTTTAAATGTTCTCAAACTGCCGTAGTAATAGCACCAGTAAGTTCATCTGCTGAAATAGTAATGTAGATTCGATTTTGATTATTTTCTCCCGAATTATTACCATTGCCGGTGTTATTACTGCCGAATCCATTCAAGTTAGATTGGGCGGGATTGCTTCTAGTCTGATTATTTGATCTGTTTGTTGGTCGATTTTGTTCTAAATTCCTATTTGTATTATTATTAGATCCTGCTGTTCGTGTCAGACATTGTACAACAATATGATCATGGCCTCCGCATTGATAGCACTCAATATTAGGGTTGAAGGGATGTGACTGACTAGAACTAGGTCGAGATGTGTGTAATTGAACTGAGATGAATTAATCGAGAGATTATTGATGGAACTATGATTTTTACTTTGATTTTGGATTAGCGTTTTCATGTTCTGAGCTATTTCGGACATGGCTTTCTTTAATTCACCTATTTTTCTATTTGTAGGGACATCTTTACTTAAATAACTTCGTTTTAACAAATAAGAACTTAAGAGTCCACCTCTAGAATATGCGGCTTCAGCTACTTTAGTCTTTTTCAAGGCTTATTGAAGGGTCGTTAGACATTCCATTTCTACAGGTTCCCTTAACTCTTGCCTTAATCCATCTATGAATTGGCGGATCAGCCTTTCTATACAGTCTTTCCAAATCATCATAGTATTCATTTACAGTTTTTCCAATTCCTTGTTGTCGCGACTTCAGTTCAGCGACCCATCAATTTTGTTGATGCGTTGTACAGAATTGCCATTAAAAAAGATATATAAATAAGCGTTGTGGTTGGTTACGATCATTTCAGCTTTGTATAGTATGAGCAATATTTCGCCACTAGGTATAAGCAGGCTCCTTTAAATGCGATAGTAAAATGTCGAACCGCCTTACTTCAGTGATATGATTTGCCACGCAAGCTTCATCAAATTCATCTAACCAGATAAGTGGGTCTTGGTCGCCACCACTGAACGTTAGGAACTTCACCACCTTGGACTCCCTGGGCTGGTTAGTGGTGTTATTACTTAGAGCGAGTATGAGATTATTTATACTCTGTAACAACTGATTTATAGGGTCAGCGCCACCATCACCTGGGGCTGGCTGAGGTTGTGGTTGAGGTTGTACAATATGTGGGGGATTTTGAGGTGGTGGAGACTGTAGTGGAGGTTGTTTGCGATTATTAAGGTGTCGTCCTTGAGGTGGTGGTGTTCTGATTGAAGTTGGTGGGCGTCTCTGTGGTGGGGGGGCTTTGCATTTAAAATGGACATGGGAATTTCGTACATCTCGATCACCTTCGGGCTACATTCCGGTTCTAACGGATTAACTATAGAATTTCGAATGACTTGTGGCCTTTTATACCTGTGAACGTATGTCTTCTCTGCTCGATGATATAAATATCGGTCTTCATAGTTGTCCTAATAATCATCACGATCATATCGATTATCAATTACGACATTATGTAAAGGTAAAATAGGTATGGCGTCAGGGTCAGGAACTATAATGTGATCTTCTTCCTCATCCTCACCTTCTATGGGGTGGGCATCATATAGGTATGGTATTGTTGGTTCCTGATATGAAGGTATGTTCCGGTCAACATATCCTCGCTGAACTCCAAAATCAATTAGGTCGTCGAAGTCCCCTGATCTTCTGTTTCGAGATTCGGGTTTAGAAGGTCTTCAAGCTGCGGCAGCGGAAGTTTCAGCATGTGGGCTAGTAGCCATATTAAGGGTTGGTGAGTCAAATATATTTTCTGAGTTGTTGGGTGAGGTAAATGAGATTTCAGATCAGATTGTAATGTCCAATTCACTGTCAATTGGATTAGGAAAAATATGCAATCGCGAATAGTTTATGCAACGTTTCTAACTAAAATTTTTTTTCTCTTAGGCAACCCGGTCTTGTTGTTGTCGCCAAATATAATCGAAATATTCGATTAGAGGTGTTTTATGTTGGGTTTTTAAGAGAAATACTTTGGGCTTTTATTAAGATAAGTATTTGAGGTGTCGAAATCTGCCTCTACAAGATCTTTTCATTGTTGCTTTTATATAAAATTCAATACTAACACACTATCTATTTTAGGGTTTTATTTATTAAACTAGTTTTACTCCTAGTTTTAGAGCTAATGCTATCATTACGATCTTTATGCATAATGATTTATGCGTAATGATCATATGCGTAATGATTATATGCTTAACAATGTTATACATAACGACATTATGCGTAATTAGTATTACAAGCCGGCTAAAGCAGCCGCGGCTAAGGCGGCTTAGCTAGCTAAGCCAGCCGATACAAATGTATTGGCTGGCTAATATGGCTGAGGGTATGTCATTCACGTGACAAGTATATATAATAATAGACGAATCAAATCGAATGCAAATTCATATCCAAGCTTTAACTACAATAACTATTCGCTGAATATATATTGTTAGAGTGCTAAAAGTCTTTTCTTCAAAAAATAAACTTTTTTTATTTCGTATTGCCGTTTGAAATACTTCCAGATCTTTGAAAGATCTGTCATATTTTAGAAGCATTAAAGCATTTTTTTTATTGCCAGAAAATCAGAAATAAAGGTATTCGTTATATTTTTATTATGAAAGTTAAAGATTTCATATTTCAAATAGACTAATCAAATAAATATTTACTTTAATAATCTATATAAAATGTTTTATATTTTTAGCGCAAAAAAAAAGTTCTTTTATGTTCTATTTGATCTATCTGAAAAAGTTCAAAAGTTTTGAATGTTCTAAAAAAAAAACTCTAGCACTACGATGCTCTATACATTTATCAAGTTTATCATTCTTACTATTGCTTATTTAAACTATCTAAAATTCAAAAATTTTTTTTTTTTGTTAATAGAAATACTCTATATTCAAAGCTATTTTCCTTGCGATTGTTTGTAAAGTATGTGCAAATTCTAAATTTAAGCCAAACCCGGGTATACACTATAAATTTTGGAGTTTTCCTTAAGAAATAATATATCATGAACTGTGTCGGGGTCTAATTGATTTCTTTTATTGGTAATTGTATTGCCTGCATTCGAAAAGATTCTTTCTGAAGGAACTGATGTGGCCGGGAAAGCCAAATATTTTCTTGCAAGGTGAGAAAGAAAAGGAAATAGTGATTTGTGTTCATTCCACCAGGTTAATGAATTAACCTTACTATATTCTTTGTCTTTAATATGATATTTAGAAATTTGAGGTAGATTATCATTAAGAGCTACTTCTTTTTCAACCAAGGATGAATTTTCATTTGTAATTAAAATATTATTATCATCATCATAAAATGAAGCAAAAAAAGAAGAATTAGCACTTGATGGTTCTGTTTCTTGAATAGAAGTTGATCGTTCCTGGTTATTATTTAAAGTATAAAGATAAGTAAGAGTTTCATTTTTTTTAGCAGATGTTACATAACTTATTTTTTTGAATCTTGGATCTAAAAAAGAAGCTATAAGACTATTAAGTGATGGTTCAAACCATCTTGAAAGCATTGATTCATTAATTTTACAGCAACAAGCTTTTACTGTTATTGACATTATTGTTGGATAAAAATCTCGTAAATGACATGAAAGCTTAATAAGGGTAGGTATCATTATTCCTAAAGTAGGATATTAATTTTCTCCAATATATCCTGTTGCTTGTGCAAAAGGATATAAAAGTTTTGCTAATTTGTCTAATGAATTCCATTCTTCAGTTGATAAGAGAGTTTCTGAAAATTTTAAACTATCTTGCCTTTCTTGTCGATTAATACTTTGTCTTAAATCATCAGCTAACTGTATAATAGCGTTACAAAGAAGAAGAAAGTTTTTTAAAAGGTTGTAAGTTGAACTCTAACGAGTTCTAGTATCACTTGAAAGGGGTTGACTGGATGCTGTGGATTTAATTCAGCTTGTAGTCTGCGAAGTTTTTCATGATATTTATCCCAATTTACAAAATTATTTATCGTTTTTGCTTTATTAATTAAATCATCAACTTCTTTAATATTAAATCTGTCTCCTAATGCAAGCTGAATTGAATGCGCCATGCAGCCTACATGTAGAGTTATAAAGTGATTAAATTTTATGTAAGTATAAAATTTTATAAATGTATCAATTACATTTTTAATAACTTAATTCAATAGTAGAGACTTTTTATCAATTATTTTTAATAACAAAAATTTTAAATTTTAAATTCATATATAGCTCATAGAGAAAATATACACAAAAAAATTATACAGTAAGACCTCTCTAAATGCATACCCTCGGGGCCATAGTCAAAAAAAGCAAAATGTGCACTTAAAAAGAGAGTGCATTTATAGAGAGCAAAAATATATAATGCTCTTATAAGTTGTGGCCAAGTTATGCCATGCATTTAGAGAGAATTTATATAGTGCGTGCACTTATAGAGTGTGCACTTAGAGAGGTTTTACTGTAATTTGTAAGTTTTAATTATTTTTTTTTTAAATTTAAACTTATGTTTGTTTTAATTAATAAAATCTTTAAAACGAAATTTAACAAAATTTTATACAATATTAGAGAATCTAATTGTTATAATATAGTCCTACCTATATGCTCAATATTGAGCTGATCTATTGCTTTAGTCATTGAGGATGCATTATCTGTTGAAGCTCCAAAGAGTTTATTATATATACCCCTCTGGTCAAAAAGTTGTCGACAGAAATCTTCAATCTGATCACCTGTATGAGGGTAATCGAACTTTTGGATTGTAAGAAGAGCTTGGTATAAAGTAAATTCAGGACCAATCCAATGAATAGTTACTGCAATATAAGGCTGATGAAATTGAGACCACAGATCCGTCATAAAGCAAAAGGAATTTATTGTTGTTTGTAATAGATTTTTAAGTTGTTGCTTAGCAAAAAGCACTGATTGCATTAATTTTTCTTTTAACTGATCAATACACGGAACATAAACCTTGGTTCGCATTCAAGAATCATATCTCAAAAGCAATTATTAGTAGTAGCGTAAAATAATTGGAGATCGTCTACAACCCAAGCTAAAATATGATTTGTAATTTTATCACGTTTTGAAGATGATAAGGATGTTTTTTTATTTAAAAAGTCATGCATAATGATTGATTTGAAGCTATATTAATTAATTGGTTATTGTTATTATTTGTTTCAGGAGGCAAAATTCTATGAATTTGGCGTAAATGAGATTTTAAGTTTCTTGTTCTAGTTGATAACTCATATTCTTGATTACAGATATCTTTATTACTATCTTCATTTGTTGTTTTAACTTTGTAATATATTTTTTTTTTAACTTTATTTTATCTAAAATAATGCCATACCCAACTTTTACTAGGTCTCGATTTTTTGTTGCATGTAAAGGCTTTTTTTTTAAATTCTTTTACCTAGACTATTAGTAATAACAGTAACGCCATTATTTTGTGATGTGGATTGTTCAGGTGAGCTTGAGTTTGATTCAATGTCTGGATCATTTGGATTCTCTGATATATTTGATTCATTTGACAAAGCTATAACATCGTTGTCATAAAAATCAAGCTGATATTGATCATCTAATGACATTTTGATACTAAAAAATTTGTTTATAAAACAGAAATTTTCTATCACAGAACAAAAAAAAATCAAATTATTTTAATTACTTTTGTCGTTATCTTTATTTATTTATATTTAATCACATTATATTATATATTAATTAATTATTTTTTTATAGATACATATTTGATTAAGTGTGTTCTCAAGCACCTATCTCAACAGACTTAATAACAAATTTGATTGGTCTGTTTGATCAAAATAGATAATCAGGTTTTTTTATTGAATTCATTGAGGCAGGTACTTGAGAACGCTCTAAGGGTATTTTCAAGCATCTGCTTTAATAGACTCAATAATGACTTGAGAACGCCCTAAGGGTATTTTCAAACACCTGCTTTAATAGACTTAATAACGAATCTGGTTAGTCAGTTTAATTAAACTAGTCAATCAGATTTTATTAAATTCATTAAAGTGGGTGCTTTAAAACACCCTAATTCGTGTTATCAGAAAGTAATTGATTGCTTTAAAACTTCACAATTAGAATTAGATATACGATTATTACTTTTTGAATAGCTATATATAGCGACAAGCCAAATGTGGATATTGCAAATTTTTGTTTATATGCTTCACTAAAGAAATAGATTTGGCCAAGACAACCCAAAGTGGCAGTATCTTATAGCATAATAATCATACCATATAGAGTAATTAGCTTTTTGTAAAATAGTCCTGAAATGTGGCACTAATAGATGTAGAAAAGTCTCATAATTGTTCATTTTTATGATTATGCAAGATGATGGAGGATTCTTTGGCTAATTCAAAAAGATAACAATTGTATATATAATTTTAGTACTTTTCTGAATAGCAAAAAAAGACAGTATGGTGCAATAATTATATCTACTCATGAACAATAGCAGTGCATATATTTATGTATGCATATATACATATACTTGCATCTGCTATTGTTTATGAGTTTATATTAGCTTCAAGTAGCAATGGGAATTTTTAATTATTAATTATGAATTACATACGTATTAACTATTAAAAATTAATTAATAAGTTAACAATATTTTCTAAACTAATTATCTAATATGCATAAAACATCTTCGTAGAAAATGAATCAATAGTTTTTTTTTTACAGGAACTATTATTGATTACTTTTTATCGCTACAAATTATTTTTATATTAGAGTATATAAAAAATATATTTTGATTTGCTGATTATACATTCTATTGATACTTTCTATGCATATTAAATAATTTATTTATTAATTATTAAAAATGATTAACTATTTCATGTTATTAACAATTAATAATTAGAAATTCCTATCATTAGTTTGAGTATACAGGAACTTAAGACTAGAGTCCCAATCCAGTTTGCATTTATCTAAATAATTATTAGGAAGTTTTAATAGAATTCTAGACTTGAGCAATAATAGAATTTAATTTATTTAATATACAGATTTAACAATAAGAAATTACAATTTATTTGTAATTCTCATTTTACTGACAAATAACTGAATCTTAAAAATAAATATGCGAATACAAGCTTCTTGAGAGTTTAGCAAATGGTGTTTTTATTAAAATTACATATGCTATGATAAATTCTAAGTTGATCAATTTTAGAGTTCCAATCTATTAAGCATTGATTTAGATAACTATCAGATACTGGATCTGAGTTACTTTCTATTTATTATCGATATTTGGATACCTGTCAGATTATCTGGATATTTGAGCGATCTGAATTATCTAGATAATTAGATATGAATAAACAGATAATAGATTTATCCGGATTGGAACTCTAATAACTATTCGCTGAATATATATTGTTAGAGTGCTAAAAGTCTTTTCTTCAAAAAATAAACTTTTTTTATTTCGTA